AGGGCCAAGTGATTCTGTACATCACAGTAGACCTTTTGAAAATTCGTGTCAAAAACTTCTGGATGGTAAACAAACAAGGTTCTGGAGTCAGAATATATTTCTACAATGCAAAGCTAACGGTGAAAATTATGACAGAGAGTGGCTACTACAATCTCCATCAGTATATTGTTTTGTTTGCACACTATTCAGTCCCAAATCATTTAAATCTCTGTTTGCTGTGGATGGATTTAGCGATTCGTGCAACTCGAATACGACTGGTAAACATAAAAACAGTTCAATTCACAGAGATTGTATGTTGTCATATTTAAACCGAAGACATTAAATCAGGAACTGGAAACACACATTAATGAAGAACATCAGTATTGGAAAGCTGTTTTGCAATGTTGTTGCTGTCATTATAAGAATCGCTGAATTTGGACTATCTTTTTGAGGAAGAAATGAAGTGTTTGAGTCCCTTCAAAATGGAAATTTTGGAGGTTAACTTGAACTTGCTGCTCAGTTTGATCCATTTTTAGCAGGTCCCATCTTAAAAATATGGTAACACAGGAAAGCACAATCCATCATATATGTCTAAAACAACGTGTGAAGAATTAATAAGCTTGATAAGTGATGAAGTTCAATCAACTATTTTCAGTGAAATAAGTATAGCTCGATATTTCAGTTTGTCTGTAGATTCCAATCCTAATTTTTCTCATACAGATCAGGTAAGTATTGTTTTAAGATAAGTATCTCCAACAGATGGAGTATCACATTTACTAGCTTACGAAGTCATACCAGTGAAGAAACCTCAAATCAAGTATTTCACTATTTATGTCAACTTTGCAAAATTGATTTTTCTAAATGCACAGGCCAGTCCTATGACAATGCTGCCAATATCTTAGGGCATTATAAAGGCATGCAACGAAAATTTTAGAACGTAATGAATATGCCATTTCCATACCATGTGCTGTGTATTCACTTAATGTTGTAGGATGTTCCACAAGATTGTTGTCCGGAAGCACTTGATTTTTTTTTCTTCTGTTCAGTTACTGTACATAATTTTTGTCACCCCTACTCACCAGAGCCTTGGTGTCCAGTTTTTAAGCCTCTGGCTGCTAATCAAAAGGTTGGCAGTTTGAATCCACCAGCTGCTCCTTGGAAACCCCGTGGGACAGTTCTACTCTGTCCTATAGGGTCGCTAGGAGTCAGAGTTAACTTGACTGCAAACGGTTTGGGTTCCTCCCCCCTTCTCACCAATGGACAGTTCTTAAAACATATTTAGGCAATGATCGAGTATTAACATGTCTTTCTAATACATGTTGGGAAGCCCATGCTGTAGCAGTGAGTGCAATCCTGGAATCTTATGCTCAGATTCTAGATGCCTTACAAATAGTGCTGAAGACCAGACACAAAAAGGAGATACCAAAAGAGAAGCTGAAAACCTCGCCAACAAGATGCAAATACTAGAGCATGTATTTATGTTGGTTGTGTGGAATAATATACTGCCGCATTTTCATTGGACGAGTCAAGCTGTCCAAGATTCAGAAGTAAATTTAAAGACATACTGTGATGGTTAAGATTATGTCAACTTGGCTGATCCGTGATTCTCAGTGTTTATATGTGATCACTCCCATGATTGAATTTGCTGTGAGTAGCCAATCAGATGAAACAGAGTTTCCTTGAGGATGTGGTCTGCATCTGAATATAAGCAGAGTTCTGTCTTTTTGCTCACTCTGGATCCTGCAGCTACCTCCTGTCGTCTCACCTCCGCTTCTTGGGACTTGAGCTGTCAGCTTGTCTGCCAAACTTGGGAGCTGTCGACTTTCACAGCCTGTGAGAGGAGCCCTGCTCTCTGACCTGATGATATTGGGTTCACCAGCCCCTGCAGCTACGTGAATCAGGAGTAACCCTGTAGTCTTGCCTGCCTACCTTGGAATTCCTCGACCTTCACAGCCTGTGAGCGGGAGCCCTACTCTCCTACCTGCTGATCTTGGGCTTACCAGCTTCAGCAGCTGTGTGAATTGGGAGAGGCCTCTACCCTGATCCACGGACTTGGGACGTTCTAACCTCTACAATCTCGTGTGCTGTTTCCTTGATATAAATCTCTCTATATATATTTATACCCTTTACTGGTTTTGCTTCTCTAGAGAACCCAGCCTAAGACACATGCGTAGATCTCTGTCATTAACAGGGTATTTACATAATTTACGAGAAGATTTTGAAATTTTTGAAAACACAAAATATACTGAGAAATACTGATTATCAAGCAATTCACCTTTGCAGAAGCATTAGAAGGAAACAAGTAAATGACAGAAGTGCTCCAGAAGTATCATTGAGTGCCAGAGATCAATTTCCCTTAATCACATACTACACCATCATTGACACACTTGACTCTTGCATGAAGAGAAGGACAAAAGTGTATGAAGTTCTTTCAAATAGATTTTCCTTCTTAAACAGTGTGGATGTACCTGATGAAGAATGCATGAACGCATCTAAGAAATTAGTGCAGGCTTACCACAAAGATTTAATTACAAACCTTTATGGAAAAGTGCCACAATTTCATTCTTACATGAGAACTAACTTTGCAGATTTAGCATAGACAAATTTTACTCATATTGGCATGTATGATTTTATAATAGAAGATAAAATAAAATGTGTATTTCCCAATGTTAAAATTGCTTTACGCATATTCCCAACTTCAATTATCACAAAATGCACAGCAGAAAGCTTATTTTCATCCCTGAAGAGACTAAACAACCCTCAACATACAACAATCATTCAGGAAAGACTTGATTCACTGTCCTTATTATGTATGGAAGTAGATATTGTTTGGCAGCTTAATTGTGATGAAATCACCAAAGAATTTGTAAGAGCAAAGAACAGAAATGTTTGTAATTATAACATGTCAGAGACGAAAGATGTATGTAAAAATAAAATGATTTGTTGTAATATTGTTTTCTGATCATTAAACTTTCTTCTATGACTTTTTTTCATTTGTTCATTTATTGTTATAGCATTTATTACAAAACAAGCATCAAAATTGAAGTATTAGCCATTTAAAGCAAAATTGGTAAAAGTCAATTTTTCATCGTGGGAGATCAACAGAATTTTACATTGATTGTTGAAACAACTAAGTTCACTGGCTCATTTTCTTTGCTGTAGAATATGTGGAATATTCTTTTCATAAAAAATGTATATAGTAAAAATCTTAGTCTCTCACATCCACTAAAAATTTTATAATCCAGTTCATCTCATTCCACTAAAAGGCATATGCCAATTTTGCACTCAATCAGCAGTATTATAGCCATTTTTAAAAAGGAGTTGCATCGTGGATAGCTAAGACACACACACACACATATGTATATAACTCACGTATCCCAGTTGAATGCTCGAGTCAGCAGAGGAGAGGCCATCACAGATTATCAGTGTTTAGGGCCCTCATATGCCTTAATCCAGCCCTGGTCTTTCTCTTTATTGGTGAATTTGTGAGCTCTTCGCTATATCGTCTACACCACTTCCACTTTCATTATATTTCCTTAAAGACTTATGTTGGGTACTGATGCTGCATGTGTGGGTTAGTAATGAATACTCCATATTATTTTAAATTAAACGCCATAAAATACAATACATGAAATACATTTGGTTTCAAGAATTAACATTTTTCCTTCTTACCATTAAAGGAGCAATAACTCACTGAGGGAGAGAAGTACTGCAAAATTGTGTGATAAATCATGGGGCAGATAAAGGCATGCAAAAACAAACTGCAAAGGAAAAACAGGGCAAGGTGCACATATTCTTTGAAATCATATTTCACATAGAATGTTGGAATCTAGGAACCGATTTCTTAGGAAAACAAATTTAAAACAGACACGATTAGACAAATTAGTTATTATTATTGTTTTTCATTTTTAAAGCAGGCATAATAGCAGACACCTCAAAATAAAAATCTGCTTCTAAGAGAGAGGTCCTTGATCTCAAGAGAGAGGTAGTATAGTAATATTTTCAACAGTCAAAACTAGAAGCCAGAATGCAAACTTTTTTTGTCCCGATTTTGCCACCATTTGGCTAAATGACCTTGGTCAGGTAGCCAACCTCTTGGTGCCTGGGCTGTGAAGCAACGTTCCTCTCTGCTGGGGCATTTCTATCAGTTTAAAGTGGAAATGTTCTGTTTTTTATTGGGCCCCTTCCTACAAAGTATTCAATTTGTTTATTTAGTTACATAGTTTAAATTTCACTATGATAATTCTGAAAATCCCATTAAAAAACAGCAATCTGCGTATTTTTCCTTTCCTGCCTGACAAAGACTCTCATTATAAATATCCATTCTCTTAAAGGGAATAATTTATCTGTCATGTTATGAAGTTATCTTTCAAATTAATATGCACAGAGAGTTCAGTTTTAGGCTCAGGTAAGACATTTTTATTTACATGCAACATCATGATAAACAAAGAAAAAACTGAACTTGTCAAGGATTTAATTTTACTTGGATCCACAATCAACGTCCATGGAAGCAGCTGTCAAGAAAACAAACGACACATTCAGTGCCTGGGATCGCGCTCCCCATACGGACTCCGAGGGACCGCGAGCGGACTGATCCTCTTCAGGGCCCTGGGTCGATCCCCCCGAGACCGAAGGTAGCCGGAGCCTGATCCCAGCTCTTCAAGACTCGGTGGACACCGGCCTCATGGTCCCCGACAGTCGCAGAGGACGCCGGGGCCAGAGGCAGTGAGCTTCCTCTCCGACGCTCTCTTTGCGCTGCGCGCTGCAGCCGGCAGCAGAGACAGCAGAGGCTCCGCTTCGGCCCCAAAGTAGCAGAGCGCCCTGCGCGGGCTATCGAGGGCCCGCGTGTCCCCCGATACCGCAGCCTGGAGGGTGCCAAGCGCTCCGAGACCCTCGCGCTTTCCTTGTGCCTGGATCCCAACGGTCACGGAAACACCGCGTTTAGCCTCCGGAGACAGACGTTGGAAGCCTCGGGAGCTGAAACCCTACTCGAAGTTACTGACCCTGCTTCATCGCTCCTTATGGGCAGTTACCTGGGCAAGCTGGGGTCCTGGCGTTCGTCCCCCTCCAAGGAGCGCACAGACCTGCCTGAGAGACCTGTGAAGAACCCCGGGCCCGCTCAGCATCTTCACCAAGTTCGACAGGTTCAGCACGGTCACCGCACCCAGCACACTCACAGAGCACACCCTGCCCAGCGGCACAGACCTGCGAGGAGGCCGCCAAACTGGGGTCCAGCCAATCCCAGCGCATGGATGGTCAACGAAGCTTGGAGGCGCTTTCCCTTGACGTGGCTCCAGAATTCCAATATGGGGCCTCTACCCTCAGACTGGTGGGAAAGTTACTCCAAGAGAAAAATTTGGTCTCTTCGCCACCCTAGGGCAACGCAGAGTTCGGTGACAATCAAGATCAAGATCGCTCCTCCTGAACAGAGAATGTCGCCTTCTCCGTCCCCACAGCAGGTAATCAACTATGCAGGGCCCCCACCCTCTGAGGAACTCCCAGATCGGTGTGCAAAGGAGACAGTGCTGAGGGCCCTCAGAGAGTGCAAGAAAGGGAAAATGAGGTTGGAAGAATCAATATTCCCTGAGAGTCCAGACAGTGAGACAACAAGCCCGGAGTCCAGACCATCTGCATTTAGGCCCCTGATGAAAAATGGAGTCTTCCCTTCCTTTGTGCCCAGACCTGGACCTCTGAAGAGAAGTCCCCATTCCTGGAGCTCAGATCACAGCTTGCATGAGAGACCCAGTTGTTCCTCCATGAGCATCTTGAGCAGCACACACACAGGTGGGCCCCTCAGCTCTAGAAGAAATGCCATTAGGAGCTCTTACAGCTCTTCTAGAGAGCTCTCAGAGCCATGGAAGAGAAGGAGTCCCAGTGCATTACTCCAGACGCCAGAGTGGCCAGTGGAAAAAAAAAGAAAAAAGTCATCAGTCTCATTTGCCAGCCGCACTGGTATCAGACAAGGAGTCTGCAGGAGCATCTTGCAGTTCTGGGCAGCAAAATCACAATATTTCACTACTTCTGTCTAGCCCTGCGAACCTGCTGTCTGTGACCTCACCTCCCCAGCTTGGTTGTTCAGTCCTTACTGAGGACCTGGCCTTGGAGAAAAAAGCCAGGCTTCAATGGAGCAACAAGGCCAGAGAAAATAAGACTGAGGCCACCATGGATTCTGTTACTGAGACTTGACCTGATATTCAGCCTTCTGTGTCTCTCACCATGCCTTCTGCAGGGACAGCTCCAACCCAAGACACAAATCCTTAGCTGGAAAGCTTAAAGAAATGCAAAAGTCTTCAGGTCCATTGACCTTCCCACAATCTACCAGAGAGGCAACCAATGTGGCTCATTTGCCTGTGAAGACACCCAGCATGCTTGCCCCAATTGTGTCCTCACAGTCAGAGTATCTTCCAGGCACCTCTTCAGACTCAACGCTCACAGCTACTTTCATCCTGCTGACCGCTAGTTCTTCCACATCGCAAATCACTAACACCTCCAGGCCACCTCTGACCTCTCAGGCTGACAGGTCTGCTATGCCCTCAAACCCTCCAGCCATTACTCCTGCCACACCCACTATGCCAACTACTTTTTCTTTTAATTTAAAACCCAACCCACTGCCCTCGAGTCGATTCCAACTCATAGCAACCCTATTTATTTGGACATCATAAAATCACCCATTCACACTCACTCCTTTCCCAGAGAGGACAGGAAGCCTTTTGGGCCTGAGAACAAAGGAAGAAAGATGGGAACAGCAAGTCCCTAAGCCTACTGATGCTCTGTAACCAATGGTAGGTCTACGACTAGGCTGTTACATATTCCTTAGCACATCTACCATCCTGATGGTTAAAAAAAAAAAAAAAGCAAGAATAAATCCCAGAGTACATCTATCTCCTATTTTATGGATACCTTACAGGAGAACTAATTGGAAAAATCAGCTATCTTAAATCGGTTGATTGAATAAAAAGAAATTGTTGAAATAAATCTAAGGTATAGGAATTACTGTTAAATTCATATCAATATAGAAGCAGAAAAATGTTAAGAAACTTGCCTAAGGCCACCCAGCTAGTAAACAAGACAGATTCAGCAGTTAAACCTGAATGATTCAGAGTCTATGATCTTTTCTCCCTCACTATGTACAGCAAATTACCAAAATTATAGTTTTAACCCAGGTCTACCCATTGCCATCGAGTCAATGCCAACTCATAGTGACCCTATAGAACACAGTAGAACTGCCCCATAGAGTTTCCAAGGAGCGGCTAGTGGATTGGAACTGCCGACCTTTTGGTTAGCAGCCAAATGCTTAACCACTGCACCACCAGGGCTCCATCTGACTCTAAATATCCATGCTTGTTTCACTATATGTAGGTTGCCAAAAATTCAACTTTTTAAGGCATCCCATAACTAAAAATTGCCATTTAAAGATGAGGGAAAGTATATGCGTTGTCTGCTGGTCTTTGTATGATTGTTTAACATTTGTCTTGTTGCTATCAGGTGCCGTCGAGGGAGCTCCAACCCATAGTGACCCCATGCACAACAGAACAGAGCACTGCCCACTCCCGGGCTATCCTCACAATTGTTGCCATGCTTGAGCCCATTGTTGCAGCCACTGTGTCAATCCATCTAGTTGAAGGTCTTCCTCTTTTTCGCTAGTGGTGACTATATACACTATACTGTGCTAGGCACTGGAATTCAGAGCTGAAGGACCACTATGAAGATTATGATATAGTAGGGAGATTGGTAAATCAATGATTCCAACAGAAGGGACAAGTGCTAAGAGTATGGGAGCAGGACGGAGGGACATCTATCTAAGACTGAAACTTGAAATTTGAACTCTGCCTTAATGTGTCAGAACTAGGCACCAAAAGTAGTAATTAATTAATGCAAATTTCAAATATGGTACCACTTTAAGTAAAAGTTTGACAATACAAAAAACAGGCAAATATCTGAGGGAAAGGTCATTTAAATATACAGAAGATGGAAATGTACATTGATCTCATAATCAGTTGATTGAAATGAAGACCATAACTTATCTGCCCTGTGCCAGAAAAAGAACGTATTTCTCTGAAGGAGATGGTCCACATGGAGCCAACCAAATCAAACTAAAACAAACATAAAACCACCACCAAAACCATCAACACCATTAAAACAAACAGGAGCTCCAGTAGCAAGCTCTATCAGGCTTTGTCCAGTACTGTGCTGGAGAAGAAGCAGGTCTGAGTCTGGGAAGAGCAGTATTAGTCACTAGTGATACATACAGTGTTGTGGGGCAGGAACACATTGCCATTTCCGTTAAAGTTTGGATGAGTTCTTCCTTAAGATTCTTCTCCTTCATGGCTCCAATAGTAGGCTTAACAAGCAACCTTCTCTTTCCTAATTAGATTGTTTTGGCACCTTAAAACTTGAACATAGGGGAGTGCAATGGATCCAGTTAGTTATTTCAACGGAGAAGTATAGCCCCTATTAACGCTTAAAAGTATGTATCAAAAGAGCGTTTCATGGTTTGTTTTATTATGAGTTGTCCCTCACAGCCTTATCGACTTCTCTAAGAGCCTCATCATCTTCCGTAAAAAAAAAAAATCTTCATTTCTGGACCTGCAAGTCAGATTACGACCTACAGAGGTAAGTGCCACATCTCATGTAGCCTGGTTGTGTTAGTTTTCTATTGCTGCATTACAAGTTATCACAAACATAGCAGCTTAAAACAACACACATTGCCTCAGTTTCTGTGAGTCAAGAGTTGGAGCACAACTTAGCTAGATTCTCAGGCTAGGATCTCACAAAGCTGCAATCAAAGTATAGGTTGGGGCTATAGTCTCATCTGAGGCTTGACTAGGGAAGGAAATACTTTCCAAACACACCTAGGTTGTTAGTAGAATTCAGTTCCTTGTTGCTGTAGGACTGAGATCTTCAGTTTCTTGCTGACTATGGTGGAAGCCACCCATAGTTCTTTGCCATGTGGGCCTCCCAATAAAGGCAGCTCACAAGTGTCACCTTGTTTCTTCAAAGCCAGCAAAGAAGGGAGGGAGAGAGAGAGACAAAGAGACTCCAGAAAGATGGATGCTATGTAACTTAATCACGTAATCACATACATCTTCTTGCTTTTGCCATATTCTATTCATTAGAAGCAAATCACAAGTTCTTCGCACACTAGAGGGGAGGAGATCATGCAAGGGCATGAATACTAGTAGGCAGGGATCATGGGGACCATAGTAAGAGTCTGTTTACCACACTGGTTTATCTGGTCAGCCCATCTCTACCTGTGACACTTGTGTGTCATGTCCTGTTGTGTCAACATGAGTGAAAATGAAAAAAGTGCTGGGCTGGGAGTGGATGGGCAGTGTTCTCTCAATAGAAGGTACTCAGAAAAGAGCTATTGAAATAAAAAATAATTATAGTTTACAAAGGGGATATTTTATATATGTATATATGTATGTACATATATATCTTAATATGTTATTTTTATTTAACATTATACTTATGCACATTTTCCTACAGCAACAAATATAATTTTAAAAGTTGTATCTATTCCCTCTGAATGGAGGGCACTTATGGACCATAAGCTTCACATTTGTTCTGTGCCCACAATAGTAAACAAATTAAGCTCTCAAACATTTGCTACATTAAATTGAAGATCACATTTTACTTGTATATTCCTACATTTTGGAGTTTTGCCTTGTCTTTGGCTGGGTTCTCTAGACAAGCAAAACAAGTGAAGGGTGTATGTATGTGTGTGTATATATATATATATATATATATACACACACACACACGCACACAGAGAGACAGAGATTTATATCAAGGAAATGACTCACATGGTTGTAGAGACTGGAAAGTCCCAAGTCCGTGGGTCAGGCTGGAGGCTTCTCCTGACTCACATAGCTGCGGGGACTGACAAACCCATGATTGGCAAGTAAGACAGCAAGCCTTTGGCTCACAGGCTGCAGAGACCAGTGAATCCCAAAACTAGCAGATAAGCTGCTAGCCCAAGTCCCAAGAACTGGAGGCCAGATGCAGGATCCAGAGCAAGCAAAAGCCCAGGAGCCTTGCCAGAAAGTCCACATACATTGGATGCAGGCCACACCCCCAAGGAAACTCCCTTTCAACTGATGTGCTGCTCATAGCACATCTCATCATGGAGGTGATTATACTACATCAGATCTCATTATGGAGGTGATTACATCGTTATGTAGCTGCCAAATAACATCATAACTGCCAAACCACTGAGAATTATGGCTCAGCCAAATTGACACACAACCTAAACCATTACATGCATTTTTCCAAATATTTTCACTTAATAATACTGAAAGGAACATCTCTGTATAAATCTTTACATCTACATTTGTGACTATTTCCTTATAAGTGGGATCATTGGGTAAATACGAAGGAGCACCTTTAGACTCTTGTTGTATGTTACCACATTTCTCTCCAAATTGTTGGCCCACATGTCCCCTCCCAGGGTTGGCCCTCGTGCCCCCTCCTTCGAGGAGCAAATGAAATGAAATGAAATGTCCTTGACCAATAAAATATCTTGTTTTTTCCTTTTGCCTGGGAAGCTCATCTTCTTTTGCACATTTTCTCGGGGATTGTCTGTTTTTTTCTTATTGATTAATAGAAGTTGTGCTTTTTTCCCCCCTCGTCATGAATCCTTTGTATTTTTAGCATCTTCTCCCGCTTGGAAACTTACATTTCACCCTATTAATGGATGATCAGAAGTTCTTCATTTCTTTGTAACTTCTTATTGAAGTATAATATATACATACAGAGAAGTACACCTAACATCAGGGTGTACCTCCCTGAATTTTCCCACACTGAATGCATTCATGTGACCAGCACCCAAGGAATAAAATATTACTGCTATTGACTGCATTGTGTTCCCCAAAAAGTTATGTTGATGTTCTAACTCCGGTACCTGTAAATATGACCCTGTTTGGAAAGGGTCTTATTTTGTTATATTAATGAGGTCATGGTGGGTCCTAAACCTAATCACTTCTGAGTGGTATCTTTCAAACAGAGCAGAATAGACGCAGAGATATACAGACATGGAAGAAGTAAAACAGGACTCCAAGGAATGCCAAGAAATGCAAAAAAAAAAAAAAAAAAAAGACTCTCAGTGTTACCAATAAGAAAGGACTCTCACCTAAAGCCAATGCACTGATTTAAGCTTCCAGTTTCCACAACTGTGAGAAAATAAATACCTATTCTTTAAAGTCACCCCCTTGTGGTATTTTTTGTTACAGCAGCACTAGAAAACTAAGATAACCTAGATACCCCCCTGTGCTGCTCCCTTCTAATTGTTTCTTCCTGCTCCCAAATATAACCACTATGCTGACAACTAAGAGTAATTTTTCTTGTCATTTAAATTTATGCAAATAGATTCATACAGCTTGTATACTTTTGTGCTTGGCTTCTTGAGCTCAACATTTGGGATTTTTCCAGTTTTAGGTTATTGTAAATGTGCTACTTTGAACATTCTATGATATGTCTTTTGGAGAATATATGAACACATTTCTGTGAATAATATAACTAGAAGTGAAATTGCAGGGTCATAGGGTTTGCATATGTTTATTTAGTTAGATATTACCAAAGGGTTAGCCAAAGAGGTAGTATTTTGCACACCCTCCAGCAATGTATAAGAGTTCTTTTTTCTCCACATTCTTGTCAATGCTTGATATTTTCCGACTTTTTCAGTTCAGTTATTTTGATGGATATCATTGTGGTTTTGGTTTGCATTTCTCTGGTGACTAATAAAGTTGAGCATATGTTTATCGCCATGTGTATGCCCTATTTTATGCAGTGTTTTATTTTTCTACAGGGTTGTCTTTTCCTTCTTACTGATTTGCAAACATATTCTGAATGTAGGTTCTTTGCCAAATGTCTTAGTTATCTAGTGCTGCTATAACAGAAATACCACAAGTGGATGGGTTTAACAAAGAGAAATTTATTTTCTCACAGTCTAGTAGACTAAAAGACCAAATTTAGGGTGTCAGCTCCAGGACAAGGGTTTCTGTCTCTGTCGGCTCTGGAGAAAGTTCATTCTCATCAATCTTCCCCTGGACTAGGAGCTTCTCCGTGCAGGAACCTTTGGTCCAAAGGACTCCCTCTGCTCCCTGTGCTGCTTTCTTCATGGTAGGAGGCCCCCCTGTCTCTCTGCTTGATTCTTTCTTTTATATCTTAAAAGAGATTGGCTCAAGACACAATCCAGTCTTGTAGATTGAGTCCTGCCTCATTAACATAACTGGCGCCTATCCCAACCTCATTAACATCGTAGAGGTGGGATTTACAACATACAGGAAAATCACATCAGATGACAAAATCGTGAACAATCACACAGTACTAGGAATCATGGCCTAGCCAAATTGATACACATATTTTGGGGGGACACAATTCTATCTGTGTCACCAGATATATGTATTCTGAATATTTTCTCCCACTCTGTGGTTACTTTTTCATTTTTTAATGATGTCTCTTGATCAATGGAAGCTTTAGCTTTAATATAGTCCAATTTATCACTGTTGTTGTTGTTAGCTGCCGTTGAATTGGTTCCAACTCATAGCAACCCAATATATAACAGAATGAAACACTACCTGGTCCTGTATCATTCTCACAGTTGTTGCTGTGTTTGAGCCCATTGTTGCAGCCACAGTGTCAATCCACCTCATTGAGGGTCTTCCTCTTTTTCGCTGACCCTCCACTTTACCAAGCATGATATTCTTCTCCAGGGACTGGTCCCTCCTGAT